GCCTATTAGGTTCTAATATTAATCTTCAAGAGTAAGAGTTTAAAACTGAAATTAAACACCAAAATCTTTTCTCCATTTTCCCTTCATCACCCATATTGATGCTAGTCTCAAAATAACTCCTGCTTATAATCTACAATATAACCTTTCTAGTTTTTAATGTGATAATATAGTGTAAACCCATGCATTTATATTCAGGATTTTTATTCATTTTTCATTTACACCAAATGTTATTATGTCTGCTTTCCTGTATTTTGCCTTTTTATTATTAACAATATACTATGCAAATTTCATGTAGTCCTGAGGTGCATTATGGTGTGGATTTATAGATTCTATACTCCTTTATTGATGAACATTGACTTTGTTTCTAGGATTTTGCTACTATAAACTGTGTTTCAATAAATATTCTAAATATTTTCTTAAATAATAGCACTTTTTTCGATGATATAAACTTTAAAATTGGAAATTCTGGGTAAAAGTGTTAAACGTGTTGTCTGTTTACTTTAGATTTTATAAAAGTTTTATCTAAACTTGGAAATTATTAAAAACTTTCAAGAAGATTGTGGGTACAGAATAAAGATCTAAATCTTTTTCTTGAACCTCTTTAGAATTAGTTGTCAAACTGATGTATTTAATTATGAAATTTGCCGAAACCGGTTTGACTCAGTGGATAGAGTGTTGGCCTGCGGACTCAAGGGTCCCAGGTTTGATTCCGGTCAAGGGCATGTACCTGGGTTGCGGGCACATCCCCAATGGGAGATGTGCAGGAGGCAGCTGATCGATGTTTCTCTCTCATCGATGTTTCTAACTCTCTATCTCTCTCCCTTCCTCTCTGTAAAAAATCAATAAAATATATTAAACATAAAAAAAATAATTATGAAATTTCAGGTATCATTTAATAATACTGTGTATATTTACTACAAAAATATTCTACCTAATCACAATACAATGACCCAAATCCACATTAACATTGCCACAGTGCTACCAACTAATTCTCTGGCTACCTTCAGTGTTTGCCAATTATCAAAAATAATGTTCTTTAGAGTAAAACAGCCAGTTCAGATGTTTATTTAATCTCCTCCCATCTAGAAGAGTTCCTTAGCCTTCTTTGATATTCATGACCTTGACCTTTTGAATACTGCAAGCTGGTGATTCTCTAAAATGTTCTTCAATTTGAATCTGTCTGATTATTTCTTGCCGGAAGCCGGTCCATCCTTGCTGTTTCAAGGGACCTGGCATATATGGCGTACTGTTCTTGATGTGTTTGCTCACCTTCTTGGCGCTGTGTTTTGGCCAGGGTAACCTCTCCGAGAAGGGTTGTTTCCCCAGGTGGGGATTTTCTCCTGAAGTTAGGGAGGGAATGAAACCTCTTGACTAAGTGCCAGGTGGGTAGTTGGTCACTTTGACTGCAAACAATCATGCTTAAGCTGCTTAATCTTTGCTCCCTGGAATGGAGATGGGAAGCGCCCTAACCTCTGGAATAGAGAACATGGCAAAAGATCCTGGACAGAACCTGGCTACAGAACTTGGTTGGAGAACCTAGACAGAAGCTGGCTGAAGAACCCGGCTACAGAACCTGGCGACCGAACCTGCCTGGAGAACCTAGCGAGAGAACATGGCTACAGAACCTGGCTGGAGAACCTGGAGAACATGGCTAGAGAACCTAGCAAGAGAACATGGGCACAGAACTTGGCTGGAGATTGTGGCTGGAGATCCTGGCAAGGCTGCTGATCAACTGAACACTGTCTCCGTGTCATTCCTTCTTCGCTGACTCCGTCCACACCTTTGGGCACCCCTGGACCTGCTGGGGTTGGACCCCAGCAATTTCTCATGGTTATATTCTAGTTATGCCTCCTTGGCAGGAATAGCAGAGAAGTGATGTAGTGAAATTGCCGTCTTCTCAATGGTTCATAATTTTCTATTCTGATGATCAAATTGTTCCAAATTGAATCATAAGAGTTGCCCTTCAAGGTGACATCTGTCCCTGATATCCACCATCCTTTGCTTGTTTGCAGTTTTTCCTGTTTGTTTTTAATGAGTCAACTGCTGGCAGCTGCATTCAAATCTGCAAGAGATTCAGAGGTTAACACATCATTAACACAGTGAAACACTGGCCCTATGGGAGGCTTGCCCCAGGTAGCTAAATCTCATGCTATCAAACTATGACAAATGGGAGGGCTATGCAAACATTCCTGAGGGAAGGCGACCAAAGTCCACTGCCAACCCTCCTATGCAAAAGCCACTGTCCTTGACTCTCTGCAGCCATGTCCATGCAGAAGAAGTCCAACTAAGTCCATCACATAGGGCATTGCTCCAACGTCAGTGCGAGACGATCGCTGCAATCCTCTACAGCCAGCACCGTGAAGTGTAGCAGGGGAGTCAATCTGGTACCGGAGAGAGCTGTCTACAAAACAGTTCTTCAAAGTAGCTGCACAAAGCAGCCTTTGCGAAACACAGGAGCCCTTGTAAACATACAGCCATTGCTAAGAAAGCAGCTTGACCCAGTAGCCAGCCCTACATAAAAGCACCCTCATACCGGCTGGTCAGTAACACACTTTGTACCAACTTGGTCCAAAGAGACTTCTTGCCAAATAGTGACATCAGTATTTGGGTTATAGTGACATCAGTATTTGGGTTATAGTGACATCAGTATATGGGTTATAGAAAAGTACCCTTGCATAGTGTATACAATACAATTACTGTGGCCTTACTCAGATTGGCCTTGAACATCTGGTGTATGCTGGATACTTTTGTTTTCATCTTTCAAAATATTATATTTTATTTTTCTCCTCTAGAATTTAAGCTCTATGTGAGCAAGGTTTTTTGCTTTGTTTGGATATCTGTTGTATCCTTATTTTCAAAGCAATGCTTGGCACATAATAGATGCTCAGTAAATATTAATTGGATCAATTTTGATAAGTACTATAAATTAATAATGGCATCATACTTATGAAAATATAAAGTAAGGTATCGGATATATCCAACAGAAATATCTCTCAATAATGAAGGGGGAGAATACTTTTTCGGACTAACAAAAGCTGAGATAATTTATTATCAGCAGGTCTGCATTTTTAACAATATTAAATGGAGTTCATATGTGGACTCTAATGAACAAAATAAACTGATGAACCAAAAATAGATCCAGAGACATAGAAGCAAGAAACAGATTTCTAACAACAGAGGGAAGGCAGGAGAG